ATATATAGTCTTTCTTTGCCCAGGCCAGTCTCATACTTGCAACCATCCTCCTGCCTCAGCCTCCCGAGTGCTGGGATTACAGGCAGGTGCCACCACGTCCAGCTGGCTATAATATTTTAAAATTAAACACTATTTGGCTCCTTACTTCTGAAAGCAAGTTCTCGAGAGACACAAGATCCATCTTGCTGTAGACATTCCACAGATTCAAACTCACATCCTGCAACTGCAACAAAGGGCAAAAACACAGAAATAAATTAAGTCAATATTGTTAGGACAATCTGAATTATTTTCTAATGTTCAGAAATTATAATCCTGGTATAAAGTCAGTGTGATTGTAATATTGATAATATAACAAACTACTATTAATAATGACATTATCAATCAATTATTAATTATACTAGAACCTACAAATATTAATAAATGCTTTCCCATTCAAGGAAACTGTTTTTCAGAACCTTTGGTATATCCTTTGATTATCTTCTGTGATGGCACATATATACTGAAACACACTATATATATGCATAAACACATGTATATACCATGTATTTTTTGCCTTTGTTGGAAATAAAATTTTAATCAAAATAATGTATTGCATGATTTTAAAACTCAAGTAGTACAGAATACTTGTAATAAAAAATTTTAATTCCCTATTCCAGTGATGGTGAACTTTTTAGATACTGCCCAAACTCTAAAACCCACTGACTTATTGCAAAGTGCTAATACTGCAATAAAACCTGAATACTGAGGTTTTCAGAAAAAACAACTCATACATTAAAAGAAAAGCACAATAACAGAGCTTTCAATGATCTGGTCTGCTGTGGCACGTGTGCCATAGGTTTCCCACTACTGTATTCCAGCTTCTCACACCCACGTTAGTCTCACTCGTCAGAAGCAACTACTTAAAGTTCTTGATCTTTTTTTGTTATTTTTTTAACTTTTAAAAATTTTGGGGGCTGGGGATTTAGGTCAGCAGCACAGTGCCTGCCTGGCAAGTGCGAGGTTGTGAGTTCGATTTCTGATACTGGAAAAAACCAAAAAACCAAAAACCAAAAATAAAATAAAATAAAAATTTGTATATGTTTCTAGTGTATGCAGTTTATAATAATCTTGGGGGAGTGGGTACGTACATAATACAGCTTGTTTCTTTTTTTAATTCCTCCTCCCTCCCTCCCTCTACTAATTCCCCTATTCTGATTTCCATTCTTGGTGATTTTATTAATCTCAGCTCATGCTTAGCATATGACATTTACATTCATGGCCGTTACTAGGTTCCTAGGTATTTTTGGTATTTAGCTCCATATTTTGATATATAATATGCTTCTACAGCTATTTTTAGCAGTTAAATATTAACTTATGTCAAACACACTGCTCTTTTACATTCATTGCCATTCCTACTTTTTCTCTCCATGTATCATCAAATATCACTATTTTTGTTACATCACTATAGTTTATAATACTAAAGAAATGTAAATATTATTAAGTACAGACTACATTCCAATTTGATTTCTTTTTGTTTTTCCTAGATGCATTAACAGCTTCATTTTTTCACAGTCCCACCCAATCTCCTTCTTTGAGAGTTCCTCAACAGTGAGACTACTGTTGTTGGGGTCCGATATTTCTTAGCTGTGTGGAGCTGGCCCTGTGCATTGCAGGATTCTTGGCAATATCTTAGTTTTCTATTCACCTCACATGTATAGCCCCACCCTTGTCCTGAAAGACAATCAAAAAACATCTGTAACCATTGTCAAACCTTTGGAGGCAGGATAGGGCAAATTATCCCCAACTGAGACCTGATTTATGTGTACCAAATAATCTATCAATTTCCTTTCTTCTACTGGCTTCACTCTGGGCTGCAAGTTTGCTACACAGCTACAACTTTCACTTTGACATTTCTCTTTGCTAACATGCTAGAGCTCATGGATGATGAGTTTGGTTCCCTGGATTTCTTGTTTCCTCTTTTTTGGTTAACTACCTTGTTTGCTGAGGCACACCATCCAATTCTAAGAAAGGATTAATGGGAAACAAACTTTTTTCTTGATTTTAATAACGTTACTCTGTATTCATGACTGATTCATAGCTCACTGATATTCTTTCCTTTTTTTTCTTTTTGGATTCTTGAACCTCTTTGTGCTTTGTCTTTGATAATTTCTACTGCTATGGCTTCAAATTCACTAACCTTTTCTTCCACAGTAGCCAATCTGCTGTTAATCTCAGCTAGTGTTTTTTATTGTTGTTTTTCTTTGTTTAAGACAGGGTCATACTATATTGCTCAGGCTGATCTTGAACTCACAATCCTCATGCCTCATGTCCCAATGTACCCAAATAACTGCATTCATAGGTATGCACCACTGTATCTTGCTTCAGATAGTTTATTTTTCATTTCAGACACTGTAGTTTTCACCTATAGAAGTTTTGTTTGATTTTTACAGTGCTAAGAATTGAACCCAGGACTTCTGCACTTAACTATATTCCCAGCCCTTTAAAAAAATCTTTTTTTTTGAGATAGGTCTTCATTAACTCTTTAGTGTTTTTTTTTTTTTTTTTTCCGGTACCAGGAATCGAACTCACGATGTTGTGCTTGCCAGGCAGACACTGTGCCGCTGAGCTAAATCCCCAGCCTCTTGGGGATTTAAATTGCACAGCCGGGGTTCAAATATGTGATTTTCTTAGTATATGTGCTGCTGAAGTGAGCACAAACTTCTGAGCCTCTTGTCTCAGCCTCCCAGAATTCAGGGATTGGAGGAATGTAATGCCACACCTAATTCCTGCTTCTTTTCAACCTGATAATCTGTGGATATCAGACACTGTGCATATTACTGTTTTGGGTCCAAGATATTTTCATGCTCCTATAAATATTCTCAGGCTTTGTTCTGGGATACAATTATTTGGAAACACTTTGACCCTTCTGGGATTTGCATTTTTATCAATTGCTGGGATGGTCTGAAGCAGGGCTCAATCTAGGGCTGATTACTCCCCACATAGTGAGTACTGCACCCAATGTCCTCTGAATGGACTAAACAGGACTAAACACACATGAGGCACTGTCCTCAAATTTTTCAAATGAGTTTTCCTTTGGCTTTGAGTAGTTACCTCACACGCGAGGGCAGTGATCAATGCTCTGCTAAATACTCCACATAGGGGTGGGGGACTGCAGTTCTGAGTTCTCACTCTGCACAGTTCTTTCCTCTTTGGTACTATGCTGCCTTGGTGTTCTGGAACTCCCAACTCAGGGAGCGGACCAGGCTCTAGCTGGGTATACCCTCCCTATGCATGGCGTGGAAACGCTCTCTAAATTGTAAGCAGGAGGAATCATGGGGCTCACTTGTTTCTCTCTCTCAGGGAGCCACTAATCCTCAATGTCTGATGCCTAATTTCGTGAAAAATCATTATCTCACATAATTTTTTTTGTTTCATTTTCTGTTGTTTCAGGAAGAAAAATCTAGTGTTTATTGTCTATTATTTGTTTATTCAGGGTGAAGGTGACAAATGCCTGATTAACTGTCACTCTGAGGGGAAAGGGAAAGGTGGTAAAGGGAGGTATAGGTTATTACATAATAATTGTCATTTAATTCCTTCAATTTCAGTATCATCAATTTCTACTCTCTGTCCTCCCTTTTATTATCTTTTCCCACATTGATTTAATCTACTTGAGCCCTTCCTCCATATTCTGTGTACTTTTTTTTTGGCTTTTTTCCAGTACCAGGAATCGAACTCACGACCTTGTGCTTGCCAGGCAGGTGCTGTGCCGCTGAGCTAAATCCCCAGCCCCCATATTCTGGAATAGCTTTTAAGATATGTTAACTGATTAGATTTGGTGGGGGGGGCACTGAATTTGATTTCTAGCTTTTAAAGCAAACTTTAATTCTCATATAGATTTGGAAATTTATAATCTTCCACCTCCCTTCTTCTATGGTACTGGGGATTGAACCCAGTGGTAGAGTACTTGTCTAGCATGCACAGGGACCTGGGTTCAATCCCCAGTACCATATAAAAAAAATATTAAGTTGTAAGTATCTGTAGTTCTCCTTTTCTTAGCCCTCAGGGGAGGAAAGAAGCTTTCTGGCACAGGTGATCATCAGGCTATCAGACTGGAGGGAAAGAACACTGGCAGAGCTGATCTGCGAACAAACTGCTCCACACCTTAAAGTCCAAGGAAGGGCAGAGTAAAGAACAGAACTAAGATGGGGAGGGAGTAAAAAAGAGACAAAAGGGGAATATCTGGAAGAACAAACATCATGGGCCGGGGAGATACCTCAGTGGCACAAGTGCGTGCCTGGCAAGCACAGGGTCCTGAGTTCGATTCCCTGTACCAAAAAACCCCACAAAAAAACAAAAAACAACACAAAAATCAGCAGCTACAAGGGGGAGCAGAAGCTGGGCCAAGGGGCCTTGACAGAAGAGCTGTGTTGTTTCCTCCTTATAACCCATCCTACCCCTAAGAGCACTATCCTATAGCAAAGCTCTACATTGTCCGTCAAAGGTTTAATGGAGAGGAGATTTTGTTCCTTGTGAATATGACTTCACAGTGCAGGAGTCAGAAAGCCTGTCTTGCTTGTGCTGTATCAGCTGGTCAGCCTCTTAGCTCACCACTGCCCAATGCCGCTGGCTACAGCCCAGGGGTCAGAAGCACAGGCCCTGAAGCCAGACCATCTGGACCTGACTTTGGCCCTGTTACTCACTAGCTCTGTGACTCTGGGAAACTCATCTACCTCCCTATAAAAAAGAGTAAAATAGTACCTATTCAAAGAGTTATTGTAAGAAATCAGTCACTTCATATAAAGGGTTTACAATAGTATCTGTCATATAGGCACTCTATAGATGCTTAGTTCATACAATTAATTAAAAATAAATATAACCATTATTGTAAAAATGTTAACCTTGCTCTCTGCCCCTGTAGCCTGTCTCCCTTTAAGCTCCTGCTCTTCTGAATTAGAAAGCATTACTCCTATCAGTGGCACCTCCCACAGCCTAGTTGATATTCTGCTACTTGTAGTCGGAACACTGTGGTTTGGGAACAAGAAAAGTGAAGTCCAAGAGGTAGCTTCCCTCCAGCCCATCCTGCTCTACAATGGTGCGCCATGGTCCTTCTGGACAAGTACTTCCCCCCTCCTCATTTCCTAGAGAAGGAGGGACAGGAATTAGCCCTGTGCCTTGCTTCCAAAGGTCCTACTTACTCTCTAAAGAGGATGTCCTCATTTCTAGCATGGCAATGCTATCTTTGCCTGTTTTTTTCTGCTGGGGCAGGCTGAGTTCCCAAGGCTCCTATGAGGCACATGGATGCCTGTGGTAGTACTGCTAACCTACCAGGCCAACCTCCATAATCTACTTTGGATGACTCCTCTCTCATACTCACTCATTAATTCACTTAACAAATATTTACTGGTCATCTCCTAGATGTGCTGAATACTGAAATAAAAGACACTATTCTTTTTTTTTTCTTTTCTAAAGATACTGTTCTTGCTGCAAAAACAAACCTTTTTATTTCCTCCAGTACACTGTATTAATACAAAATCCTGCACTGTCCCTTTCATAGTTTTTTTTTTTTTTTTGGTTTTTTTCTCTGGTACCGGGAACCGAACTCACGACCTTGCGCTTACCAGGCAGGCGCTTTTGCCGCTGAGTTAAATCCCCAGCCCCCATAGTTTTTCAATAGTCTTCAACTTATATGAATTTCTGAGGTACAAACAACAGCAACAACAAGACTATTTTTCTATTCAAGAAGCTTGCAGTCCAGACAGCAGGGTTGGGTGGGTAAGTGGAGCATGTGTGACAAATGCACAGAAACAGGATGATAAAATTTTAAGAGGACTGCCTCACGGTTAACTCAGACCAGGGGACACAGGGAGGAGGAGCATCAAGAAGAGAATACACCAGAGCTAAGTTGTTCTAATACACCAGCAACTGTTTTCCATTTCAAGTTTTTTTAACTTGTTTCTTGCCCTTGGGAGGTTACTGCCAACTTTTCAGAGTGTTATAATAATGGAAATTCACTTTGTTGGCCCTTTACAAAAACAGTAACAAAAACCAAACATACTGCTTTTTACACATACCTCGTATTTCATGGTAAAAAATCCATCTCCTCCAATGCCCTCAAGTGCGAAGGCCTGTACAATTGGCCATTTCTCTACAACAAACATATCAAATATCTGCAAATGACCTAGAAGAATCAAATACAACAACACTATCAAATGTCATCCTGGATATAACAGTCTAAACTTGATCTAATGTGGTTAGATGGGCATCATTTCTCACCAAGGTCTCATCCAGCAAGATAAATTTCAAAAAGATAAAACAGATACTGAAATTAGAAATAAAATAAGAAAGCCAAGAAAAATTCAAGCCATAAACAAGTTAGTTGCATAACTTAGATTTCTCTATAGTGTGTTTTCACATTTTGGTTTCCTAAGTAAGTAATTAAGTAAAAAATAAGTAAATAGCAGTCTGTTACAACTGACTTGCATCATTTACTGAGTATAATTATTAACAGATTCAAAGTTGGCTCCTTTCCCTTAAGAAACATAGCCAACCAACTTCCTCAAGGGAGAACTACCAAATCAAAAGTTTTCATTTTTTGTAATGACAGCTTCAATCTGCAAGGCTTTTCCCCCAGTAAGTCCTGCTAAACTTGGGTGATTTTTTTCCTGCATTCCACACATCATTTCTGAACCACTGGCATATTTTTAAGTGGCTATCCAAATTACTAGTTTTATTACCAAGCCAAGATGGCACATGCCCATAATCCCAGCACTTTGGGAGGCTGAGGCAGGAGGATCACTTTGAGTTCGAGGCCAGCCTGAGCTGCATAGTGAAACAAAGTGTCTCAACAAAAAAAAGTACCTTAAAAAAAAGTGTCTCAAAAAAGTGTCTCAGGCTGGGATGTAGCTCAGCTGGACAGAGCCTGCCTGGCAAGCATGAGGCCCTGAGTTCAATTCCTGGTACCAAAAAAAAGTGTCTCAAAAAAAGACAAAAATAATAATAACTAGTTTTATTATCCAGAGGTCCCACATCTATACTCTCTATATCAATGATACAATCCAGGGGGCAACTGTGCTAAATCTCCTATCAATTTTTCTGTCTGATCATAGGTGGCTTGCTATTTGCTGTGCAAACTCCACAGTTATAAATAGCTTATATAGGAAAGTCCCCAAATGTTACCCTGCTTGATCCTCTGGCTCAGTAAGAATGAATCATGGGGGTTTCCTAGCTGAATGCCTCCAAGAAAAAAAGCAGGGACACTGGAATCACACATCACCCGTGCAAGGCTCTTAAATGCCTGCTGTCACATACTTACCCTGGGAGCTGTAAGGAATGCCAATTTTACTACAGTCTCTAACCATATCCACAAAGCTGGAAATTTTAAACTCTTCTGCAGCTTCTTCATCTTCATACTAAAGAAAGAAATTGAAAGTAAAACAGACTCTGATTATACATCACATAACATTCCATATTTTCTCTGCACTTTACCAGGTTTGTCCTAAATGGCATTTATAGGTACTGTTTTCAGAGCCAATCTATTAAATTTACTCTATCTTTCTCTTTTCCTTCCCCTTCCCCTTTCCCTTTTTTCTTCCTTCCTTCCTTTTCTCTCTTTCTTTTTCTTTCTTTCTTTCTTTCTTTCTTTCTTTCTTTCTTTCTTTCTTTCTTTCTCTCTTTTTCTTGAGACAGGGTCTCACTGTATAGTTCAGGCTGCCCCTGAACTCACTAGGTAGCTCAGGCTGGCCTCAAACTTGTGGCAATCCTCCTGCCTCAGCCTCCTAAGTGCTGGGATTACAGGCATACACCACCACATCTGGCTATTATATTTACTGGTTAGAAATACCTGTCATTCTCTTATCTCAGATCATACAAAAAAAATCAACTTAAAATGGATCAGGGGCCGGGGATATAGTTCAGTGGCACAAGTGCCTGCCTGGCAAGCACAGAGTCCTGAGTTCAATTTCTGGTACCAAAAAAAGGGATCAGGAAACACGAGATAAAACTTGTTTCCCCAAATCTCCCAAATTCTCAACATGGAAAGAAAGACTATTGAATAATACTGGATCACAACTTCCATGAAATCCTAAATCTTATATCCCAATTTGAGTTCCAGTAAAACCCTTAAAACAGACCCAAAGGGAAACAGAAACAGATACTGAAATCCAAAGACAGCAATGTCATAAAGCTTAAAAGATTCTCCAAGGGTAGTCCCTGACACCAATCCTGGAGAGACTGAGCTCAGGCTGGTAAAGAAAGCAGGGCAGAAACACAGGTTCAGAAGCCTACTAAACTGCAACCTGAACTCCCCAGACCCAGTCTCCTGCAGTCAATTTATTTGAAAGGTAGCCTTCATACTAAAATGTGAAACTTTCTTCTTAAAAAACCATTTTTAGGGCCAGGCATGGTGGCACACACCTGTAATCCCAGTACCTGGGAGGCTGAGGCAGGAGGATCGTTGTGAGTTCAAGACTAGCCTGGGCTGCAAAGTGAGCTCAAGACCAGCCTGAACTGCATAATAAGACCCTGTCTCAAAAAGACAAAAAAAAAAGAACCATTTTTATATACGTAACTACACTCTGCACTTTAATTTCTTTAATGGCGTCTTTTATAAACCAGCTTTCCTTAAAGAAGTGCCTATTCTACCTTTTCTCCTCACCTCATTTTCAGTCATGCAGTAGAAATGCAGATTTCTCCAATGCGCCACATAGGGTAAGAGATAGCGATAGTTGACAGGATTACAGTACAGGTGGACACTATCTGATTTAATCAACATAACTACATCTGTAAGAAAACAAAATCAAAAGGTAAGATTGTCAAGGCTTTTCCTTTAGACATTTCCTGCCCAGAAAATTAGTGCAACTATTAAGGGGTAGGGAGGTAGCTCAGTGGTAGAGCAGTTGCCTAGCATGTGCAAGGGACTGGATTCAATCTATCCCTAGCACTGAAAATACATATGCACATGCACACACACAAGCCCCTCTCCCCAAAATTGAAACTTTTTCAGAACCAAATTAACAAAACTCTAAATTAAAAATTACTTAATTAGGTAATGTGCTTTCAGGTGACTGTAGAACATTCAAGTGTCGAGAGCGAGCATTTCTTAGTCTTTCTGTAATGTTTCCACCACCATGACCCTCTAGTTATGGTAACACAAACACAAAACAGGTCAAAAGAATAAGTTTCATCTACTGAAACAAAGTGCTTTGCAAAGTCCAGCAGGGTAAATCTGTGGTATCAAACATAGCTGTGTAGTCCATTGCCCAGGTACTGTAAATACAAATAGAAACCCCGTGATCAAAAGCCACTAGGGTAGGAAAACAGAGCATGAACTATGGCCAATGACTGTTCTTCCACAGACAGCAGCATCTAAAGCTCTGGGCCACTGGCTTATGTGACTCCAGGCAGCTATGGGCCTGGACACCACACGTCATCTTTGGGAAGGGTTGTATATGGCAATGAACTCTGTACACAGGAAAGGCCGGAAGGAAGGAAGCAGAAGCAAGTGGAAATAGCTTCTCTAAATAGACCAGGAGCTTACAGATTCAAGGAACATTGGTGGGTCAAGTAAACAATCCAAAGGGTGTAAGTAAGCCTAAATTAAATGAAGACACACAGAATAGGGCAGGAATATTAAAACAGTCTGAAAAATAGAAACAAAAAATGAAAGCAGTCATATCAAGAAAAGAAAAGCAGAGGCTTCATTCCATGGGTCCTCTGAGACCAGAGCTACCACACTTCTTTCTAACAAGTGAAGGTAAAAGTTGCTGGAGAAGGAGCTGAGCACCTGATGTAGCAGGTTTAAGGCAATTCCAACTCAGTACAGTGTGTCAGATCACACTTTATGAGACACATAATGCATGTGCAACAGACTAAGCCCAGTGAGTACTAACCGCAGCTCAGCTCACAGCTTGGTGGCCTCCTGAACAAAGCTGGGTATGATGCTGGCTTTTTTTTTTTTTTAAATGTCTTTTCGAGGCAGGTTCTCACTGTGCAGTTCAGGCTGGCCTTAAGCTCACTTTGTAGCTCAGGCTGGTCTCGAACTCACCACAGTCCTCCTGCTGCAGCCTCCCAACTGCTGGGATTACAGGTGTGCACCACCACGCCCAGCTGATGCTGGCTTTTTAAGTGGCTTCAATCCATACATCAATCCATACATCATCAGCCCAGGAGCCCAGGGAATATGTGGACTCTCAAGAAAGTGCTAATACAAAGAGTAGTGATGGGTAGGAAAGGGGATGCCTCTCACTGCTCAGTACTGGGCTTCCTGGCTCAAGAGCCCTGTCCTAAATCACTCACAGAACTACCTTTCGAGGGGTCTCAATACACTCTGATATCATCATTATAAACACAAGTTTAGCAGAGCACACAGGTAACAGAAGAAAATACAAGAGACTGAGATAAACATGCAAAAGATTTTTAAAGTTTCTTTTAAAAATAAACCCCTTGTGCTGGCCTTCTTCCCTCATATAATTAGAGACTGAAATGCAGAAGTGTATTTCTGATGATTTCAGCTTTCTAACTACTTGGATTTAAAGATGAATGCATTAATTTGGAAGAAATGTTCATATCCATTATACTATGTAACAGAATAAAGACAAAGATAAGGAAAAAAGCACGTCTCTGAGAATTTAAACTATTTCCTTATTTTCAGTAGTGTAATGTCCTTAGCAGTGAAGTGTGTAGCTAGTACAAGCTGCCAAGATCAATTCTTTCCAAACCAGCAGATGCTGTATAGCATAAGGAAAGAACATTTTAATGAAATTATGAAACAAATCTGAATTGAAAAAAATTTAATGGAAGGAGTGATTTCAGTCGATTTTCTATACTTCCTAATAAAAAAAGAGAGCTTTGATCAATTATAAGGACAAATACTATCAGGACTATAAAACAGAATAATTTTCACATACACTAGCTCATGGTTTCTCAAACTCCATACCATTGACAGTATGGATCAGGTAATTCTTTGTTGTCTTCAGCAGTATTCCTGGCACCTACCCAGTAGATGCCAGTAGCACCCCCAGCCCATTGTGATAATCAAAAATGACTTCAGACACTGTTGTTCCCAGGGAATAACACTGGGTCAGTTGAGAAGCACTATACTAAGGCAAGATCATTTCACATCAGATGTCTGCTTTCACACTCCCCCAGCTGCTTCATAAGAGCTGTTTGTCTCCTGTCCAGTTTTATTTGCCTGTTCCTGTGTATCCTAACCCATCTGGCAGACAAGTCATCATGCTAAGTCTGTGACATCAGAGCTAGCTCCTGGGCAACAGCCCACAGCAGCACCAACACAGGCAGAGTGTCTCAGAGTTGAGGAAAGCAGAATGTAAGCAGAAAGCCTGCATTGTAGTCAGAGGCATCGCCGTGAATTAAAGTCACATAGAAAACAATTCCCAAAGACAGCCAAGACAAAGAGCCTTTGTTCCACAACTCAAGATCCACATGCAGTCTTTCTTGTGGGCGCAGCCTGCAGACTCATCCTTATATCACAACTAAAAGTGCTTTCACTGGACACCGGCATATAACCTGAACCTTCAGTATATAGAGGCAAGGGGCAATTATGAGGAAAACCACTGCCTTGCCAAGAAGAGATAAAGCCAAACACTGATGCATACTTTTTTCTCCAAAGCTAGTTTACCCAGTAAATATACTGTGAACACTACTTATTGCTAGTCTTGCATCCTGTGGGTGACCAACAGAAGCATATTAACACATCAACAAAAAAATGCTATTTTTCACTACTGCAAGGAAAATATTACCCAGGCATGGGGGCACACACATTCTGGGAGGCTTAGCCAGAAGTGTCAGAAGTTAGAGCCCAACAGGGACAACTCAGAGACTTACTGAGATCTTGCCTCTAAGTAAATAAATAAATGGGCTTGTGGGTTAGCTCAGTGTGAAGGCCCTAGGTTCAACTCACTGGTACTCTGAACTATTTTAAGTATGATGTTATTCTACAAGAAGATCATGAACTAAAAATCCAAAGAAATAAACCATCCACTCCTCTATCACACAGTTTACCAATATACAATAGACTTACCATCTAGAACTTCTTCAGAAAATCCTGTTTTCTCAAAATCACTGGTATTCTGATTGTATAATCCAAAGAGAAGATAATTTGCCAGCTCTCTGCAGCCTTCATTGTATCTGCTATCAATTCCTGCAAGACAAAGGTTCTGATCAGCTGTACTGTTCTGTGACTTACAAATGAGCCCCAATAATTTGCCTCAAAACCCTGATGTCAGAGCTGCATGTGGCAGTGCACACTTGTAACGCCAACACTCAGAGGTCAAATGTCATGGTTGGGGGTTTTTGCAAGGAGAAACAATGTAATACAGGACACATATTTTATAAGATTATTTATAACAGTCACCCAAAGGATCATATATAAGAGAGTGCAGGAAATCTGTCCATACACTAAAGATCAAAGAATCCAGCTGAGGGCCTGGATCCTTCGATAATGTCCTGCATGAGTTCAACTGAAGACTTAGAACCCCTAACAATGCCTTCCATGAGTCCAGCTGGAGGCCTAGAGCCCATGACAATGTCTCACACAGGCCTGTTTCATGTGCTGGGAAGGCCCAAACGTCAGTGGTGGAATCTAGAGAGTCTGTGCCAGCAGAATGAAGGATCTGTGCTAGCAGGCTGAGGGGTGTGAACTGGAGCCAGGAAGTGACGCTAAGGCAAGACCCAGAGCTCTCCTGAAAAGTACCACAGCCATCCTCAACAACAGTGAGGTCCTGAGCTCCTCCGAAGATCAGGACCACTGAGTTTCCAAAAGGAAAGCTAACACGACAAGCTTTTACAGGAGACTGAGCAATGCATCATCTCCCCCTCCAGAGCCAAGAAGCGAAGCTCGAAGTGAGGACCAGAGCTGCCCCTAAGTGAACTGAAGCCATTCTCAGGGACAACAAGGTCCTGAGTTCTTTGAAAGATCAGAACAGCCAAGTTCATCAGGAAGGCCAGCATGACAAGCTCCTCCAAGAGAACCAACAGCTCCTTACAGCTTCTCAACAGCTTCCAACAGGCTACCAACAGCTTCTACCAGCTCCCAACAGCCTCACTTCTTCTCCAGTTCTGCCTCTTATGCTGCTGGCAACAATCCTTAGATGGGCCTCCCACACCAAGCACCACGTTTATTCAGTTCAGCTGGCTGTTAAAAGTTGACCATAAGTTGTCAATTCACCACACCAAGGTAAGAGAATCACCACAAGTTAGAGGTCAGCCTGGGCTACACAGTGAATTCAAGGCCAGCCAGCCTGAATTGCATGGAGAGACTGTTACAAAACAACCAAAGCAACAACAAAAATGAAACCTAATGGCTGAAGGCAGCAGCTCACACCAATTTTGTGCTAAGGAACTCTGTAAAAGAAACAATCAGCCAAGAGTTGTCCTTCTTGGATCCTAAGATCTATATGGATCCTAAGATCTATATGGCTGAGAAAATCAAAGAGCACAGATTATTGAGGCCATTAATTTCTGAAAAGCAATTCTTAAGGATAGAAAGAACCAGAAAATGGTCCAAGTCTTTCTATGGCTTGTTAATTACCTTAGAATACTTGCAGTTAGCCTAACAATAGGGACCTGAAACTTATTCACCTTTCAAAGATATTTTTATCAAAGCATATGCAATCAAGTAAAGGCAAATTAAAGTGGTTTGAAAAGAACTTAGTCATAAAGAAGAGGACAAGTGGATGGAACAACAAATACATTGTTTCACAAATTATCGGGAGTAAGGCCCAGCACTATTCCGGATGCTGTGTCTGCAAATGGCCCCTCCAAAGCTTACACGCTAGTGAAGCTGTGCCACAAATGTATACAAAGGAAGTGAATCAATACTGCTTCTCAAAGCCTCAGGTATATACACTACTGGTTCTGGGGGTCTGTGAAGTCCCAGAGATACAGTTCTGGGCAAGAAGCAAGTGTCAAGGGCAGGAAATGGCTGTCTATGAGAGAGTAAGAGGAAAGGGTTGGGGCAGAAGGAACTCCAGGAATGATCAGCGTGCCTTATCTCACCTTTCAGAGAGGTTATCCAACCTCATTAAAATAGCAACAGCTATCAGGAAGATGAGAACTAAGGGAGGGACACTAACTCACAGTTTTTTATACAATGATGCTACTGACAAGCATCCAAGTTGCCCCAGCCCTGGGTCCCACCTTGTGAAAACTACTCACCTAGGATGCAGAGGATCCCATCAGGCCGAGACTTGCTGCTCTGGGTCAGGATGCTCTGAACCTGGCGGAGTCGGCTGCAGCTACAAAAAGAACAGAAAACAGTTCCCAGACTGAGATCCTACAACAAGGCACAAGGAAGAAGATTTTGCTAGTCCTTGTCTGGTGCTAGCATCAGAACTTTAAGATGAATTGGGAAAAGTTCCCTTCTCTTCTATTTTCTGGAAAAGACTGCAGAATTAGCCGAAACTGCCTTATGTTTTTGAAGACTGGTCTCAAAAATGAGAGTAGCTTGGGCTAGCCTCCAGTTTGAGGCAATCCTGTCCCAGTCAGCCAGTCTGACCTAGTAAGTAACATCTGGATAGCCAGTGGCTCTTGGGCTCAACAGAGGATGGAGCCAAAGGTCCTCTCAGGGTCAACCACTCCACAACTCCAAGAACTTCCAATGACTTCTTTTTGTATATGTGTGTGTGTGTGTGTGTGTGTGTGGGTGTGTGGGTGTTACTCGGGGACTAAACTTTGAGCTTTCATGCTGAGCTCTTATACCCCTAGCCCTTCTAAATTTTGAGACACAGTCTTGCTAAACTGCCCAGGCTGGACTTGAACTTGTGATCCTTCTGTCTTAGTCTCCCAAAGTGCTGGGATTACAGGATTACCTTGTCACCTCGTTCAAATTTTTAATGATTTTTGAAGAAGAGATTCAACACCAACTTGCCTTTACTATGCTTCTCACAAGTCTAACAAAAACAATGAATCAAAAATAAAAAAAACTAGTCCAAGAACCTAAACAAAGTTCTAATTCATCCCCACAGCTACCCTGACAGAGTACCAGCAGAGGATACTTGCTCCCATTTCTGTGCAAAACTATTACTCCTTTAGTCTTAGGGATACCTCCTTGCTCCCACACCAAGTATGAGGAGGGATACTCCCAGACTACACAGTTTCTAAGGGTCCCTTTCCCTCCATACCAATCCCTTCTCCTTCCCATCAACTCGAAAGAGGGTCACCCAATTTCCTGCTGAAGACTGATCCTTTGATACTCCTACCTGGTCTTTCCTTCACTTTCAGGTCAAAGACCCAGCCCTGCTATGCATTCCCTAATGCTCCTTACATTTAATCTTTCCTTTATAGTCAATATAGTCCCAGCTTTACCACATCATTATTCAAACCCTCCACAAACCAACTATACCAACTATCCCCTCTAAGACTGTGACACTTCATCCCCATCTATTTTTCCTTAGACCTCTTTCTGAATCTGCTCCATTATACAGCCTCACACTCATCCAAACAAGAATATTTCTAGCCAAATAACACTATTTCTCTTCCCAAAGACCCTGGATTCCTTTTTCCCACTGGGTTCTTTTAGAAGTTGCCATGCCTGAACTCATTTGCTTCACAACTGGAGGTCATTATCAATGCTGTCCATCAGGATTTTCAAAATGTTCCAAAAGATACCAAAACTAGACCAAAGCATTAAAAGAAACCTACTTAAAAACCAATATTCAGTATGAATGTAAGTATAAATCCCTTAACAATATATTATCAAATAGATTTAAACATACAGAAAAAATTATACACCATGATCTAGTGGTGGTTATCCCAGGAACACCCAAGCCTGAATCATTATTCATTCATCAATGAATGTAATCCATCATCACACAACCATAAAACTCATGCAGAAAATTCATTAAACAAAATTCAATACTTATTCAAAGTCAAAACACTCAGAAAACTAGAAATAGAGTGCTTTCTTCTGTTTTATTTTTAAAAAATCTAAAAACATCTTCCAAGCATAAGTTGGAATTATAGATAATAGTGAAAGACACTGCTTCTCTTCTAAGATGAGAAACAAAGAAGGACGTCTGCTCTCATCATCCTTATTATTTAACATAACACCAGAAGTTCGAGCGAACAGAATGCAATAAGAGAAGGAAATGAAAGACATACAGATGGCAAAGGAAAAAATAAAACTTTCTATTTATGGATACAGCCTGCTTGTAAATGACAGTCTATATGGGGAATCTCAAGGAATTAAAATAAAATTGTAGGACTGGGGATGTAACTTAGTGGTAGATCACTTGCCTAGTATGTGTGAGGCCTTGGGTTCAATCCCCAGAACCATTAAATTAAAAAAAAATGTACAGGAAACCAAAATTAAAAATATAATGCCAATTATAATCTCTCTAGCCAGGTGTGGCAGTGCACCCTATAATTCTAGCACTCAAGAGGCTAAGGCAAGAGGATTGCCATGAGTTCAAGGCTAGCCTGAACTACACAGTAAGACCTTGTCTCAAGAAAATAAAAATAAAAAACCTCTCCAATCATAAAGTACATAGTAAGGTATAAATCTAATAAAACATGCATGGAATGTACATGCTAAAAGTTATAAAACATCAATGAAAGAAATTAAAGATGGAGAGATATATCATATTTATGGAACAGAAGACCCAGCACAGTACAGATATTAATGTTCTAGTTGATATACATGTTTAACACAATTTATATCAAACTTTGAGAATTTTTGTAGATGTAGAGAAGATTATTCTAAAATTTATATGGAAGGCAAAGGAACTAATATACTTTTTTAAAAAATGAATCACTGCACCCAAGAGAAAGTTATGAAGAATGAACAGTACTGGCTGAAAGACACATAGATCAGTGGAACAGAACAGAACAGCCAGGGGTGCTCCAGGGCCACAAGCAATCAGCATGAAGTACTTATACAGAAATGTAGCCAGAAATAGACCTACACAAACAGACCCAAATAATTTTTAACACAAATGTAAAAGCAATTCAGTGGAGGAAGGATAATGTTTTCAATTATGGTGCTGGTCAAAAACATGAACCCCAGCCTTATATAAAAATTAACTCAAAATAGATCATAAATTTAAACCTAAAAATGTAAAACTATAAGACTTTTAGAAGAATATAGGAGAAGGTATTTGGAACATTTAGTGAAAAGTTCTTAGAGCTGACACAAAAAGTACGATCTATTTTTAAAAATAGATCTATATTAAAAAATATGGTGGTACTGGTGATTGAACCTAGAGAGAACTGAGCTACATCTTTAGCTTGCTTCATTTTATTTAGAGACAAGATCTCATTAAGTTGTCCATTCTGTCCTTGACCTTACAATCCACATGCCTCACCCTCCCAAGAACAGCTGAGATTAGAGGCATGTGCCACTAGGCCCACCAAGTTCACCAAAATTTTAAACTTTTATTCTACAAAAGACTTTGTTTTCATTTATTAGTACATGTTTGTGATACATAATGAATAAATAAATCATGGGGAACTGGTACATGTATATATCGCATCTTAGTCATTTTTATTTTCCCTTCCCTCTCTTCCCTCCCCTCTCTGTCCCTAAATTCCCTTCCCATCTGCAAAAGGCCTACCTCCCTGCTCCCTCTAATCCATCTGTAATTTTATTTTTTAAATTATTTACACTTTGGGTTTCTTATATAAAAGTAGCCATAAACTGGGTATGGTGGCCCAGGCCTATAATACCAGCACTCAGTATGCTCAGGCAGGAGGATTCCCTCAAATTTGTTAGGCGTTCAAAGCCCAGCCTGCTCTATATGGTGAGGCCCTGTCTCACAAAAAAAAAAAAAAAAAAAGATTTCTATCAGGAACAAAGAAAAATTGTATTGACATTGGATTTGAAAATGATTTCTTTGGATAGTACTGCAAAAGCACAGGGAACAAAACAAAAACAAACAAATTAGACTAACAAAATTTAAAGCCTCTATTCACTAAAGGACATAATAGAGTGAAAAGGTAACAAGTAGAATGGGAAAAAGTATTAGCAAGCAAATACCTGATAAGAGATTATTATCTTGAATATATAATGAATTTCTGTAACTAAACAACAACAAAAATCTATTAAAAAATTGGCTAAGGTAGACTAGGAGTATAGCTCAGTGGGAGAGCACTTGCCTAGCATGTTCAAGGCCCTAGGTTCGATCCCCAGAACTGCAAACAAACAAGACCAAGCAAAAGACTTGAACAGATTATTTTTCCAAAAAAAGCAAATACATGGCTGATAAGTACATGAAAAGATGTTCACTACTATTAATCAACAGGGTAAAACAAATCAAATCCACAATGAAATATCACCTTACACCACTCAGATGTGCTATTATTTTTTAAAAAATAACAACAACCAGAAAATAGCAGTATCAATGACTGGGAGAAATTGGTGGTGGGAATGTTGGTGGGAATGTACAGCTACTATGGAAAACAGTAATGTTGGCTCAAAATTAACAAAAGAATCATCACATGATGTAGCAATTCCACTTCTGAGTACAAACCTGAAAGATGTGAAAGCAAGGGCTCTCAAAGTGTTATTTGTGCACCCATGTTCATAGCACTACTATTCACTATAGCAAAAAAGGGAAGAAACCCACATTGGTAGTTAACAAAATATAGAACAACAACAACAAAAAAGTAGAATATACACAGACAGAATATTACTCATCCCTAAAAAGGCAATTCTGACACATGCTACAATGTGGATAAACCTTGAGATACTATACTAAGTGAAGTATGCCAGCCACACAAGGGCACATTCTGTGTGTACTGTACCTAGAATAGTCGACATCATGGAGAGAAAGCAGAATAGTGGCTGTTAAGGGTCATGGGGGAGAGGGAGTAGGGAGTTACCGCTTAATAAGTATAGAATTTCTGTTTTACAAGATGAAGAGTTATGTGAATGAATGGTGGTGATTTAGCCTAATAATGTGAATGTACTCAGTGGCACTAAACTGTACACTTAAAAATTGCTAAGATGGTAAATTTTTGTGAACTTGAAAACAATTTTTAAAACTTTAGAATTTTAGAAAGTCTGTGTGTATATAGAGTATGTGTGCGTTGTGGTCTTAGGGCCTGGCTATGTACTTGTGGCTGGCCTTAAACTCACAACAATCCTCCTCCCTCAGCCTCCCAAGTGCTGGAATTACAGGCATGTGCCACCACGCCTGGCAAAAGTTAGTGCTCATACAGAAACAAAATCATACTGAAACAAAATCAGCAGAAAGGGAGACTTGCACTTGATTTGTTAAAAATGTGAACAGGGAAATAT